ATGTGACAACGGCAGGGAATTTTTTTTTGGCGGGGGGGGTCGGTGGGACGTCATGGAACGTTTAAAATGTTGGATTTCTAACAGTCGCTGTTAGCATTTGTTTACATCATACCCAACTGCAAAAATCGATAACCTGCTGCCACTGGTTTTTATACGAATCGCAATACACGCCACTGAGTGGTGTGCCAGATGTTACGGTTTTAAACTTGAAAGAGTCCGGAGTCCTTGTGTCTTGAATAGTACTTCTTGGAAAGCGAAAAAAGTATACAACGCAAAGAAATGGGATTCTTCGTGATAACATCTCTGTGTTTTTTCTCTCAAATCCTGTATCAATATCAACATTCGGACAGCGTAACTGATTCCATTAGGCAACTTGCCCTGTAGGCAAACCCTGCAGTCCATAGTGCGGCATGCACCCATTCAATCATGTTCTAAGCTGTGCAAACAAACATTCCGTCGGTGGTAAGGGAAAGAAAAACACCCGACCGGAGGGGCTCCTCATGCTGCCGAAATGCCCGCTGCAGCACTTGACGCGCGACATCCGAGCGCGCACGGGCTTCAAGGGAGCTGGAAAATAAGTCAAGAGTTTTTTTTTTCTGGCGGATCTAAGGTAGTATTTTTGCCCGCCCTGGGAACAAGGGCGCGGGGTCAACAGAATGTTGTCAATTATTTAGTTTGGAAATAAAGTCAGTCTCTGATAAAATTTTGCTTTGGCCGGCGAAATTAATATTCTGAAAGAGTTTACCTTCACTAGCTCTTTGCACGAATTGCCGTCAATGGCGCAAATAAAAGCGAGGCTACTCTTGCACAAGAGACTCCTGCCCGCCACTACTATGTAGATTGCATTAGAATTCCTTCAAGATGACGAAACTTTCCCGTGCAGCCTCCCTTTCAAACAACGGGGGAAGGACCTCATATAAAACAGGGTTCCAACGTCATATCTGAGCATCAAACTCATGCATGTCTGGGGATCGCATGCCGTGCATAGCACCAGGATTACTTCACGACATTTGATAGCTGCATGAAACATGGATTGAGGGAAAATTCACGAAAATCGGGCTGTCTGCACGATCTTGAAAGCTGAGAGTACACAAACGAAAAGAAAGCCGATAAAGTATCATAACGGAAACTGCAGTGGATTTGGGCACTAATGGAGTGCACTGTCGACAAGATGATCTTGACCACCAGAAGTGCAACACTCTGTCATCTCAGAACAAGTTACAGCATACAGGAAGGAAAATAGAGCAAGCCAGCAGGATCCCGGAATTCACTTGCTTCAAGGTCAGCGCTTTGTTCTTTACTCTCAAAATAACCAGCGATCTGAGCGCGCTTCTTCCGCGATTGGAAGCTCGCATTATGTTTTTTTTATACCGATCTTCGCTTAGTGCATGTTTGCACTAAAGCAGGCATAGGAACGGTGCTATCCGGATGACTGTGGGTGAATAACTTAAGAGAAAGTACTTTTAACAGCCTGAACTGGCAATTAAGATTGTGAGAAAGTGCGAATGTTACCTTGTATGAAGTCGAATACTCGATCGTTTCAGGTCGTGATGTCTTTCTAATTGTTCAAGCATTGATATCTCTCTTCACGTATTGCCGGTTGATGTGAACAAGACAAACAGAAAGACTACGATTGTTGCACGACGAAAACGACCCACACCCCGTGCAGAATTGTTCTGATGCTTCATTTTTAGAACTGTTTTCATTCCTTTTGTATACGGTGTTTACATGACAGCTCTCTATGGCTTGGACTAAGTCTAGCGGAAGTTGTGTATTAGTGCTAGCGCCACCTAGAGACGATATAACCACACCACACTATAACTGGAAACCGCTAGTGATTCAAGTCTTCTTTGGGCCTTAAGTTATGAATGAATTATTTTTTACGGATATCCTACCTTAAATCAATATGGAGACGCTGACAGATCTAGTGTTCAGTGAGGTCTACGTCCGGCATCACCGACAGGGTTTATGCGAAACATGAGATAATCACATTGAGGTGGGAGCACTGGGGCCACCATATTGCAGCGTGCGTCCTTCCCTACTCTCAAGTATCAGTGCCAAAGTACACTGGCTAATTCAATAGAGCGCATCGAATTTCGGGGAATCAATGTTCGTGTATAGTCAGGTTTTTTTTTTACCTTCGAGTAGGGGGAAGTCATTGAAGCATCCGTCGCGTCGGTTTGGGGCGGTCATGGTTGTAGTGAGCCGGTGCGTTTGGGTCACGAGTCTCCCTGGAAGTGGTAAGCAAGTAAGCCTCATCGTTTACTTATATTTGTATCACCGTTGCACTGTTGACCAATCAATTATGCACATTGGAGCTGTATGGTGTTACCTGTTTGTCGGTTAGTCACGCAGTCATGTTGGCTGTTTTACCGAAAGTACAGCGAACCTTTGCGATTCCTGTAGAGTCATCGAGTCACGTGGCCAGAATTCAAATCCAGACCCGTGGTTTATCTGTTATTCCCCCACACGATCAAGGTTTGTTTCGACAAGTTCTCGGTATGTTTACCACATGGTCAAGATCAAGCATTTCAGGCATGTGTCTCGCAGTGATGCCAGAATTTAGAATTCCTCAGTCTTTTGACAAGCGGGGTCCCATTTTCCATGCACATGTATTGCCAGAACCTTTCGCTCAAACATTCACACGCAGCTTCTGACGACGTGGGCGACTGCTTTATATGATTGAGTTCTTGCCAGTTGAGGGGGATGTTATTTTGCCTGCATCGAAAACTGCCTCGTCCAATTATAGAATTGTTTTGACAGCGACCAAGACAAACATGTCACCTGATACAGAACCGCTAGAGAATGAATGGCAATTTGGCGACTAGTTCGACCAAAGAGGAAAAAGGAAACCTGAAAGGGTTTAATTAACGCATCGGCCAAGACAAGAACCGATTTTTATCCGTTGCCTCATAATGCGCGGTGAAAAAAAGTTTAGATGTTGCTGTCACCACAGGTGTTTGTGAATTCGGATAAAAGTTGATCACTGTTTGGGCGGCTTTGCTCGTGAGCACAGTCGGTTGATATTTTGACGCGCTAGAAAAGCGACACCGCAGAGTTTTTTATCATTGACTGAAAAATGGCACGCGCTCCCGGCCGGAAGGCTTGTTTTGTTGGAATATTGCGGGGCGGCGCCGGGCTACGGTAAAGTGGATTTGAGCAATACGATGGCCATTACAGGACACAAGCCTTACACATGCCCATGGTAACGCAAAGAAATATTGTTTTGAATAATTATAGCCGAGGTGCATGATGAAACTCTGCGAGGGAAAGGAGGGGGCATCTCCTTTGATTCATTCTTCTCAGTCGGACAACACTTATTATGTAAAGCACAGAAAATCTAGTTTGTTCAGTAGTTGTAAGCTCCTTTGCTGGGGACAGTTTTGACCCATGAGATTGGCCGGTGATGGGTCAATTTGTGCTTAGTTGAGGTAACCCAGAAAAATCTTATGATCACAGATGTCCACCTGTGACCCAGAATTTAGGGTCAGCATCATTTGACACCATTTCGCCGGGTCATTTAAAAGCTACCTGAGCCGGGTCAGTGTTGTTTGCCTTTAGGGCTTACATTTGTCCGCGCTAAGCTGTTTATCACGTATATCTCCCGATGACATCTGCGTGAGTTAATTGTTTGATTGTTTTTACACGTCTTGACGTTGAATCATCACGAATTTGAGGTATCGCCACTCGTAAAAATTTTAACTCAAGCTGCCTTTACAAAGGTGTTTTCTTCTGTGCAGTTTTGGCTGGCGGCACGTTACAGGAAAAAGTCATTCAAGCTCAAGAAAGGTTGGTGTGAAATGCTAAATGAACCTTACAGCAAGATTCTTTGTCAGACTGGCTTGAGAGTTTCTACATTTGTTTAGCTTGGATAGACCTCAATTTCTATCAAAATGCAGTTTAAGCTCTCCACTACTTATCGGAGATCTGCTGGAATAGTTGTGGTGCATGATGAATGGATCCATCTCACGCAACCATGAGAGTGTCAGAAGTCCAGGCCAGAGTATACCCACCATCTCCGTATCACCGCAGGCGACACCCCGGTACTCTATATCTTGCGTCTAACAGAAGAGGAAATTTCAAAACATAACTCATGCTGGCTGTGATGAGATAAGCTCTCTGCCTGACTTTCCATTACCTACTGATTCCACAGGTCTCGGCATACCGTATAAACCTGTACATCCGGGAAAGGAAGGAGGGTATATTGGTGTGTCTTTGGATGTCGGCGAGTCTC